AACTGTGCTACAAAGTAAAATACAAGTACATGAATTGTATGGAATGCAATTCACAACACAATTCTAACTCTTAATTTAGTATTTAAATTGTCTCCGCCAAATTTAGTTACCCTAATCAATTATCACCTTCTTAAAGTGGCATATAGTAATTGAACAGTAAAACACTAACACTATCTATGGAATAACAATTACTGGTTTATTACAATTACTGGTTTATTACAATTACTGGTTTATTACAATTACTGGTTTATTACAATTACTGGTTTATAACAATTACTGGTTTATAACAATCACTGGTTTATTACAATTACTGGTTTATAACAATTACTAGTTTATTAACAATTACTGGTTTATAACAATTACTGGTTTATTACAATTACTAGTTTATTAACAATTACTAGTTTATTAACAATTACTGGGTTTATTAACATGCAACAAGCAAATCATATACTTGATAAAGACGAGAGTATGATCGTCGAAACGTTGCATGTTAATAAACCAGTAATTGTTATTCCGTAAATAGTGTTAGTGTGTCAGTTATCACCTATTTAACTGCTGTTACAAAAACATTGTTGGTCGAAACGATAGTCAACTAGTAAAAATAATGAAATACAATCAGATCATGTGGTCCGTTTCAAATTTTGTACTCTGGTTGAACAGAGAAATTATTTCTTGAATCAAAACGTCAGAACATTTATCATCCGGAATTGATTGTAACAAATATCCTATTGTTTTACAATGCAACATGGAGATGATACAGCAAGTTGACAGAAGGAAATTTGATACAAGTCTCAAGGGTTTAAGGTAATTACAGAAGACTGATTATAATCCTGATAGATATTGATCTACACAGGAAACAAAGATCGCACAGATTCACATAAAAATATAAACATTAACAGACTCTTGAGACATAAGATGACTAACAGATAAACCTATCTCAAGTTATCATAGTTGACAGTCAGACAGCCATATATGTTTTTGGTTTCCTTTAGCCATTAGATCGAAATAAATGACGAGGAATTTGTGTATACATCATAAAGAATTTTTTCTTCTTTATCTACGCATGCCAATTTCCATATATCATATGTTTTTGTTATACTCAGTGGCAATGTTAGTTGAACGGTCAGGGATCTGTACAAGTTCAATTTTTGTGTATTTTCTGGATTTCTCGTTGTTGATGAAATGAAGACAGGACTCTTGTTGATTGTTAATATTGCTATATATATTTTTTTGGTAAATAGTAATCAACATAAATCACAGCAGACAATTAATATAACAATTATTGGTTCAATGCTTAATAGTAAATAAGCTACAATGTGGATATGGGAATTGACAGAAACCTGTGTCTCCAAACATCCAAATACAGGTAAATAAGGTCTGTGACCTAAGTTGATCTCCTGACAGGTTTGTAGAATTGTTCTTGCTTAACCGACCCATTTGGGTCTATGTATCCCCCTGCATTACCTAGGGCACTAATCCTATAAATCTATCGTCTATACAAACAATATACCATGGTAACTAAAACGCTATAGCCCGTAGACATTAATTATAATTTATAAGCTCAATTTAAAGTGTAAAACAAAGAATACTTGAGACAGGTTTAATGAAATATATAAGACAATATGAAGTAGATATAAATGGTGGGTAATTAAGGTGGATTAAAATATAGTTTACTGAATTAAGTAATAATTGTGCGAAATAGCACGATGTTTGTTTCCGATGCATCCAAGGGTAAAATGTTTCTTGAAATCATCACTAACAAACGCTAGGAATTGTTTTTAAAGAGGTCACCCTGGTTAAGACTTGATTGGACGATGAGAATGTAACACTCCGTCAGTCTCAATACAGCAATGGCTAGAGAGCCATTGCTTCAGGAATATGGTAAGTGTAAGCTTTCATTGGTTAGGGTGAAACTACATTATAGGGGTTAGGTGCACTTGTATCATAAGGTCTGTCATTAAGTCAAATGGTGTGACAAGGAGTAGGGTTGCCTGTCCATTTCGTCCCACTGCTATAGATCCCTATGCGCTAGCGAATTAATGAAATAGAATTGAACTATATGTTAGTCCCAAAATTACCTATTTTATGTTGAGTGGGAGTGGACGTTAAACTCTCTCTCTCTCTCTCTCTCTCTCTGTAGCAGATGAAACAGTTTGTATGGAGTGGAGGTTAAACTCCATTTCTCTTTCTCTCTTTCTATGTATAATTATTGAACAGTGAGATCATGTTATTTGATTGGTTAAAATGGTTAAAAATGTTTGTTTAATGGTGTGAGTTTAACCACAGACCGATAACTGTTCAGCATCATTGATGAACAAGATGAGTTTTAGAAGTAAAGTTGTAATTAATGGTAAAATCGATTGCTTGCCCTCTGTACATTGTAACATGTCAATATTTATAAAAAATACAATCTGTTTTAAAGTGGTTATCTCTGTATTTTATAGAGGAATTGGGATCCTGGTGTTGGTGCTCTCATTCAACTCCCTTCAGAAGTATAGAGTCAACTAATCTATAAAACCATCCAATTCCTCTACTACTACTACGTCCGCTTCCACAGAAGTGATGGTGGACGTTAAAACACCACGTAGTAGTAGAGGAATTGGATGGTTTTATAAATTAGTTGACTCTATACTTCTGAAGGCAGTTGAGTAAGAGCACCAATACCAGGATCGAACCCGGTCCACTTGATTAGTGAGACAGTGTCTCTATAGTTCTGAAGGCTGTCGCTTGGCATTATGAAGTGCTTGTTCTGTATTTCTGAATGGAGTTGCATGAAGTAATAAAGTACTTGTTTCTAATTTTCTGAAGGGAGTTGCGTGGTATTATAAAGTAGTGAGTTGCGTGGTATTATAAAGCAGTCTATATATTTCTAAAAAGTACCACGTTCAACCACATTTTATTTCACTTCCGAAGGGAGATGGGTGGCATTAAAGTACTATCCTAATAAAGCTTGTTGTCTTGTAAAATACAAATAGAGCAACCATTGCCCTGGAATTTGTTTTGTTATATAAATGAATAAATTATTGTTATTATTATATAAAATGAAAGATAACGAAAAATCAATTGAATCAATATAAAATAAACCACTGTCTGTAATATTGTACTCAACTCATGATCAGATCTGGTCCTGTAATATATATTAAGAGATTCCTTGAAGTGTCCCTTTAAAGGAACTCTTCCTTTCAGGCTTAAATTTAGCCAATTAGTGATAAATTCCATGAGCATGATGATTAATGATATATTAAGATTGTATTGAGTTTATGATTTAATGGAATTCCTGCACCATGTATTTATAACAATGGTTAAAAACAAAGTAACAATTACAACAAACAAATCAGATATTTTCTAAATGTAAGATCTCTTAATGTTAATTATCCTTTTAAAATGAATTATCCCTTTAAACCAAAGTATCCCTTTAAAACAAATAAATCAGATATTTTTCTCAATGCAGGTTTTCTCAAGTGTTTTTTCCAATTATTCTTTTAGATCAAAGATTGTCTGGTGTGTCCCTTTAAATTGCCCCCCCCCCCCTCCCGCTCCTTCTAAACAAATTTTGTTGGGAATGTCCAGTTGAATGGAATATCCCTTTAAAGCATATATTCAACAACTGCATCTGTATGACTCTTCACTGGGTTCCTTTTAACAAGGGTGAGAAACCTTTACTGAAGGTTAATTTCTACTCAAATTGCTGTTTATCAAACTTTATTGACCCACGGCTCTTAACTAGATGATTCATTTATTACAAATTTATAGTGGGCAATGTGGAGAATTTTTATACAGTCGTCAATGAGGCTTTTGTTCAAATTAGGGGTATTATTTCTTCAACTGATGCATGCTTGGAATAAAACACGACTGATTAAAGGCAAAAAAACGACTGGGAATCCAAACATTGACTTGACTTTCCTAGTAACGAGACTGACATCGCATGTTTAAAGAACTGAGAGAATGAAGTAGACGTTGAAATAGGGGTTAATGCCGGTGGTGAATATAAATTATTCCATAAAAGATCTAAAAATATCTAACAAAGGACAAAAAAAATATGAGTTCTAAATTGGTGTTTTAATTGAATTTTGTCAGACATGCTCGTTGAATGTGATGAAATAAAAATAGCTTTACCGAACTAGGTAATATTTTGCTTTTTGTGCATGTGTGGGGATAATTGCCGAATGCTTAGCGTGTGAGCAGTGCATCATAAGGTCTATCATTGAGTCAACTAGCGTGGTGTTGATTCCCCGGTTGTACGTGACAAGGAGTAGGATCGCCTGTTCAAACTTGTGGATTTTCTCCGGGTCCTGTAGTTTCCTCCAATTCTAAAGACCCCTACGCGCAAGCTAATTTTCGAAATAAATATTAGACCATATGTTAGTCCCGAATTGACCTAGTTTGTGTCGAGTAGGCGTTAAACCCCATTTCTCACTCTCTCTATCTCTTTGCTGCCATAAATGATTCAAAACCATGTTTACACTCAAACAACAGAACACAATGTATATAGACTGAATTTAAAAAGAATTGCACAGTTTTCGTCTCCAAAATTCCACTGCGGAATGCATATTTTTCCTAAAATTTATTAGTAGCGCAGGAAGATCATGTTGCTGGAAAACAATCCTATTTAACTAACTCCTACACCTACATGTATCTTCAGTCATTATTAATTCTAAACAAAAGAATCTTATTCAAATGACAGTAATAAGGACAGCTGTCTAGTCCTGTGTAAACATTGGCGTGCATATAAAAGATCCCTTGACAGTTGGAATTCAATATAAGAGTAGGCCGTAGTGCCGCTGTCTGGGCAGAATTTCCCTCATAGCACACTGTATGGCGTATGCCCGTCTTCATTAGCCCAATTCGGAGCAGAACAATAGGACGTTAAACTCCATTTCATTTCATTTTGCAGGTAATATTTGAAATTTTTGACGGTGTTGCTGCTTGATCGATATATATGAAGGCGTGCTTTATTAAAATATATAAAATCCAATTTAGTTTAAAATTTTGTATTGTAGGAGTGGTGAAAGGGGATGATTGTAAGAGTTATCTGTACTTGTTATGAGTGTTTGCCAGTAGAGGGAGTAGTTGTTGTACAATGCCGGTTACTCTACCACTGATGACGAAGGTTCCGTCAGATCCAGGTATACTTACTACTTAGGCCAAACCAATATGATTTCCTGTTTTTCGGGCCACCTATACAAATACTCCTTATTTTGGGAAAAAGACTAGTTTATAAACCAATGGTACTTGTCTTCTTTGATTGGCATTTAGTAATTGAACATATTAACACAAAGTATAATTTTATGGATATACAATTACTGAGTTTAAAACTAAGCGGCATTTCGACGAGGATACTCTCTTCTTTATCAAGCTTAGTATAAAACTCAGTAATTGTATATCCATAAAGTTGTACCTTGTGTCAATGGTACTTGGTTTTGCTGTTCAAAAGCTTTTAGTTCCAAGTTTTTAATTTTAAACAAAACATTTTACATGTGATTCAAGAAAAATCAAAAATCATATTGAAGTGGCCTTATTGTATTGTTGTCAGCTAGGTATAGTTCTTCCTCTTCCAAACAGGTTAACTGAACTACAGTGGCCGAAACACGATATTACAGGAAACTCGGTCATAGTATACCTAATTTGACCACTTAAACAACATATATCCACCTGCTGACAACCAGACAACAGAATAACTGCCTGCTGACAACCTGACAACGAAATAACTGCCTGCTGACAACCAGACAGTTTACGCTGAACTCTCCCACTTAGTCTGCTATTACAAAACTCAATCAGCAAACAATATGGTGATGGGTGGGGTGGGGGGACTTCTTTTTTAAAACTGAATTTATATAACTATAACAAATGTTAGATTATAACAACCTACCTGTTTGGTCAGTTTTCATTATTTACATATTTATCAGCTAATTAGAGATTGTGTTTGATCACATGTCAGCTGTCCACTAGGCTTGGCATGCTGACAATGAAAGGCAGAAGCCACAGTATTGGCTCGTCGTAGTTAATAGTAAAAATCTTACTGCCAGAAACCAGGCCATTTGACTCAAAAACAGACCTTGTAATCAAATGCACATGTGTGCAACTATTTAGCCAACCTACCCCCCACGGCTGACTCCATCCTCCTGACTCCCTCACCCTCCGCAATGCATAAAAAAAACACAGAAAATTTGTGGATTTTGTGATTGACTTACATATGTATATATTCTCTTCAGACGCCCAGAAATTATTAACTGCTCTTCCAAGTCTTGAAGCCAGGTTACCAGGGAAGGAACATGCCGTGGCATTTTTACGAAGATTTTTACGTTCCAAAGATTTACATCGAACTATTTATGTGAGTAGTAAAATTGTCTATTTGTACACAGTTTTTTTGGTCTCTTCCGAAGGATTATGTACCCTTTCCCGAACGAACCTTTAAAAAAACAAAAGTTGAGAGACCAGTTCTCTTATACAGCCCATCAATGTCTTTGATTATTTCCTGTTTAAGTGGGTAAGACACTGGCTCGCTAGACTGGAGGTCATGTGTTCGATCCCTGCATTGGCCGAGAAAGTTCACCAGGACTTTCCGGTGTGGTTTCCCCTTGTCAGTGGTGCAGAACAGAGGGCCTGATAGGGACAGCTGTCTGGTCGTTTGGATAGTACGAAAAACCGTGGACTCGTGTATACATTGGCATGTAGGCCATAGTGCGCTGCCCTGGCAAAATTTTTCCCATAGCACACTTTATGGTGTATGCCCGTCTTCATTAGCCCAGTCGGGGCAGAACAGTAGGACGTTATTTAACACAATTTCATTTCATTTCCCTTCATAGTTACCACTGTAAATGAAATCTGTTGATATTTTATTTTAGATTTATCGTAAATTAGTCCAACTAACAACTATGAGGACGTCAGCAGATTTTGCGGTTTCTCAAGCAGCTGATGTAAGTTAATCTTAGTTCTGTCTGAAAATTTCTTCAAGTAGGTTATTTCGTTTATTAAGCGGGGAGCAGGTTATCTTATAGGTGTTGGTCGTTAATTAAGAGGGGAGCACTGTTATCTTAGTAGTGTTAGTCGAGAAATGTCCCTAGAATTTTCCAGCATGGTTTCCCGTTGTCAGTGGATGCAGGCCTGACAAAGGAAAATGTCTAGTAGTTCGGATAGTACTAAAAACAAGTTCCTGTGTACACATTGGCCTGGACGGAAAAGAAACCTTGACAGTTGGAATTCAAAATAAAAGTAGGCTGTAGCACCCCTGTCCTGGCAACATTTCCCTCATAGTACACTGTACGACGTATGCTGATCTTCTTTAGCCCAGTCGGAACAGAACAGTAGTAAGACATTAAACCTTATTTTGTTTTATTTTGTTAATCAATCAGTCCTTATTTTTGGTTTGGTGCTTGATTAAGATGGAGTTTTGTGAGTCACATTCCTTAAATGGGTTATGTAACCAACCTTAAACACAAATTTAGCTTTAATTGCTGAACAGCTAAATATTTTTAATTTTAAAATTTTCACAGCAGTTGTCACATTTCTACATTTGATTTACCTACTGACAAACCCTTTAAAAGGACATGTTTGTGATGACAGATGAAAAAAGCTGGATGAAACCTATTTTTGTGGCTTCCTCTGGCAAGTTTCTTCTGAAACACTTGTCTAAGGTGTCACCCTTGGTGGAAGTGGACTTAAACTCCAGGAACGAACGAATGCACAATGACAGATGACAGTAGTTACCCAACTGAGTTAATGTAATATTTCCATGCGAAATTCTCATCATTTTGTTATTAAAGTTTGTAAAATATGTTTATTGATAGATTTTATTACAGGTATTTTGTTCTATAAGATATGTAACAGATAATCCATTAGTACAAGAATTATTACAAATTTTATCTAGACCACATTTACAGGTAAATATTACTCTATTACATTACTACTACCTTATTACTCTATTACATTACTACTACCTTATTACAGTATTACATTACTAATACCTTATTACAGTATTACATTACTACTACCTTATTACAGTATTACATTACTACTACCTTATTACAGTATTACATTACTAATACCTTATTACAGTATTACATTACTACTACCTTATTACAGTATTACATTACTACTACCTTATTACAGTATTACATTACTACTACCTTATTACAGTATTACATTACTACTGCCTTATTACTCTATTACATTACTACTACCTTATCACCAATCTGATTAAAACACAGATCCTATTTCGTTTCGTTTTTATAGTTCAAAATTTTGTTTTACTTGTCTTTACTACACTAGGATCTGGATAAGTTGTTATATAACCTGCTTTCTGGATGATGTAGGGATTAGCCAATGATTAGCGAGTTTTTGGTGTGTGGTGCACAAAACTGTGGGTAACCCACTAGAAACATCAAAGTTGATTGGTTAATCAAACATCTGACGTCTGAGGGTCAAAAGCCGCTCATATGACCTCTGATGCAACCTTCCACTACAACCGGTCAGACATTCATGTACTTGAGACCATCAGAAGTATTAAAAAAAACAAAAAACAAAATATAGATATGTATTTTAATGAGATTACCTTATTACAGTCTAGCCTATATGGGGGATACTCGATTGAACGGTCCGAAATTGAAATCTGTCAATCCATAAAATAATGATAGTTGAGTGAAAAGATGGATTTTGGATACAATGCATGCACCGTCTGCTTGATAGATGAAACATATTCATTGTGTTTAATTATATCAGGATTCTACTCAAACTACTTACGCAGTTGAAATTTGATATAAAACCAGGCCATAGTGCTGCTCGTACGTAACTAACGTACGAAAATTAATTGGTGGCTAGCTTTTTTTTCCCACGTATACAGTGAATGGCCATTTTGCTCAGTAATCCCAGCCAGAATTTGGCTGTTTTCTAAATTTGCGTTAAAGTTTAAAATATTTGTTTTAGAACTGAAATAAATTAACTATTAGTCAATCACAACGCAAAAAACATCAACTGAATTGATTGTGTATATCTGAAATAGACACGACCGACACACAAAATAGTGCCAACCATTCGCAGACGCTGTCATTGAAGACAACGTCAATTCTATGAGTTGTAGATGTTATTTTTGTGAAAAATCATTGGGAGAAGAGAGAACACGTTGGGACTGTACGAATTATATAGTCTTTATGGGTTCAAAGGACACAATGCTGAAGATAAACCCATTGTTTACAAGCTAAAGTGCTGTTGACCCATTGACGTCAATGTCATGACCTGTGATGTGTAGATCACGTGATATGGATATCATGGCTATTGACTGTGTCTGAGATACTTCTCCGCAGGTAGCGTGTCTCAGATGTTCAGAATGAGGGCTGCTGTACCTCATAGCACACTGTATGGCGTATGCCCGTCTTCATTAGCCCAGTATAGGAGCAGAACAGTAGGAAGTTAAACCCCATTTCATTTAATTTCAAGCTACCTCTGATGTCGAGATTGACAGAACTGTGACTATTGACGACATTCTCTGCTGACAAACGATTATCTTGATAGCCTAAAATTCCTGTAAAGTGTGAAATGAGCTAATGAACACTGTGCTATGAGGGGAATTTTGCCCAGATAGCGGCTCTACAGTCTACTCTCATTTTGAATTCCCACTGTCAATGGTTCTTTAACATGCACAAACAACTAGACACTAGTCCTTGTCAGACCCTCCGTCCTGCAACACTGACAAGGGGAAACCATGCAGGAAAATCCAGAGGAACTTTCTCCGCCAACATTGGGCACGAACCAGTGGCTTCCTGGTTAGCGAGCCAGCGTTTTAATCACTGAATCACTGCAACTCCCAACAAGGTAATGACATTGACCTCGATTGTCTTCATTTGGCTGACCACCAAGCTAATAGTATCATTATGTTAGTGTTGCTATATCCCAAAATAATTCACAGTAGGCGACTGCGACTACTGTATATCATTTTATATGATAAACTACCCATCTGCCCGACAGGTAAGGGGAGGCAACTACAATTAATAACTCCTTAAATGGGGACAGACCAACAAATATTTTCTCCTATTGGAGGTTAAACCCAATATTTTAAGTAACAAATATGTTTCAGCAGTCATGATTAGTTTATTATTTTTCACTATAATTACTATATTGACACTATTTTTGGAATTTGCGGGAATTTAATTCCGAGACGTTGAAACGAGTATCCCTATAGGTAATAATAAAGGGCAGTAACTCATGACAAACTATTATGTTGATTTATATTTGACAGGCCTTATTATATTGTTATGATAAAGTAACTAACCATGATTTTGAACCGAAGATTGACCCGATTCCATTAAACGTAGATGAAGATGAGGCAGCCGTTAAGATAGTACGTCTCATTAAAAATAATGAACCATTAGTAAGTAAACTTATAATACTGTAAACAATGGGCGTCCTCGCTAAAGATAAAGGGGCATAATTTAACGGTGACAACATAGAGGAGGCGGTTCCACGTGACCTCGTTGTTTACCTTACAGCATTGTTTTCCTGTATATTCATTACGAACTGATGTGTTGACAAATGTTAGTTTTTGTCGTTAAAATGGAATTTATTCCCAATACTTCGAAATACGGTTCTCTTATCATCGATATGGTCACATTACTAGCAACGCCTGGTGGGAATCCCTTCAGCGAGGACGCCCAACACTTCATAGTAAGTGCAGGGGGACCACATTACACACATTGCTAGAAAAAAATAACAACTATCAATCAAGTGAATGGATCCAGTTCCAGCTGTACAGTCCTGGGCTATAATGATACTATAGCTGTAAATAACTTGTGTTGGTGTTACTATAGTAACCGTAGAAATGTTTGTGTTACCATAGTAACCATAGAAATGTTTGTGTTGACTGTTCTGCTATTGGGTTTAATTAGACCTGTAAATGTTTTGTGTTGATGATTCTACTATAGGGTGTCACTATAGTAACCATCGAAATGTTTGGTGTTGACTATTCTACTACAGGGTGTTACTATAGTAACCATAGAAATATTTTGTGTTGAATATTCTACTATAGGGTGTTACTATAGTAACCATAGAAATGTTATGTGTTGACTCTTCTATTATAAGTTTCTACTATATAGCTGTAAATGTTTTGTAGGGTGCTACTATAGCTGTTAAAGATGATGATGAAGGTACAATAGAAGTAGCTAGAGTTTTACATGGTGGTGCTGCTGACAGAAGTGGTAAAATACCCCATTCTCTCTTCTTTGGTGTGTTGGGTGGTATGTTTTTGATTCCATGCTTGTACGTGACAAGGGGTAGGATCGCCTGCCTAACCTCGTGGGGTTATTTTTGCCACCTCCAGTTTCCTAACACTTTGCACAAGCAAATTACTGAAATAAAGTAATATAGTCCTGATATGACCTAGATTGTTTTGTGTGGACGTTAAAGCCAATTACTCACCGAGCCCTGGAGGCTCCAACTATTTCTAGAACACCTGATACCACCTATATTATTATTACAGGTTTAATCAATGTAGGAGATGAAGTACATGAGATTAATGGTGTATGTGTTCGTGGTTTAACTCCTGATGAAGTTGTAGATATATTGGTAAGATTTATATACTAGCAGCAAAATACTGGGCAACATGTTATAGACACATTTCCAGACCTCACTGGGTTTCCATAGTCATACGTGGCCTTTAAGATTTTAGATTTATTTTATAAATGTTTGTCAACTTTAAATTTCTCCAGGAACTTGACCTAGTAATAAACTTTTAATAATTTTTTCGTTTTTATTTCAGTCCAGAATAACAGGTCCAGTAACTTTAAAATTAACACCAAGTTTAAAAGCAACATTACAGGGTTCTAGAGAATGTAAGGTAAGTAACAGACTGTAGAATGCATTGGGAAGCAGACCCCAATTTTATCTCACGATCTCGGAACCCACGATTTGTAGTTTATATATTTATAGCAACTATTTCTCTCCAGTTAGTATGGGCATTTTTGTTGACTTGTTGCTATAGAATCGAATAAAAGGATTTGAATTAATATTTTCTGATGTGTTTTGGTAAACATTCATGGTGTAGAGGCAGAAGGTTATACATGTTTTTAGTTTGCTACTTGAAGTTTGTGTATTTCAAAATTTTATTGGTCAACCCCATACAAAATTTGGAGCAAAGACATGGTTATTTGTTGCTGTGTTTGTTGTGAAAAGTGTTCAGGCCCAATGAAAATTTAGGAAACAGTTGGAACTGACAAAAGAGACCAGAATTAACACTGAAGTCAGTTGAGAAATAATTTTAATTGTAGTCTGCCTCCGTTTTGTGTGTAAGAGTTATTTCCCTTGACACATCTCAGGAAAGAGAGCTGAACAGTATTAAATGAAATGAAAGGGTGTTTAATGCCCTACTTTTCTGCACCATCTGGGGTAATGAAGACACCAACATGCAGCCTATTCTTATATCAAATTCCAACGTGCGTGCCAACTTGTAAATGGGACCTAGGTTTTTTGTCCCATCCGAATGACTAGATGCATGTAAACAAGTGAAGGTCGCGGCTCGAGAACTGTCAGCTCATATTATCACAGTCAGGCAAACTGGGCCCGCTCGTGCTCAAAGGGTTAATTTGAAATATTTTCAATTACTAGAAATCTTTAAAAGACCTTATATGGATCCACAACAATGAAATGAAATGAAATGAAGTCAGGGTTTAAAATCCTACTGTTCTGCTCGGACTGGGCTAATGAAGACAGGCATCTGCTATGAGGGAAATTTTGCCTGGACAGCGGCACTGTTGTCTACTCTTATATCGAATTCCAGCTGTCATAAACAAGATAGTACCGGTATTTAAAGGATATTTTGACAATGGATTAAGGACATAGCCAGTGTTTTACCACTGTTTTTATATACAAACACATTCGTCAATTTAATTTGAGTATGTGAGGTATGACTTCTATACAAGGTGTGAATCTAAAGATACAATATGGTCGCAAAATCATAGTACTCTGTTATTTTAATTTTCTCCATATTTTTAGACGCGTGTGAAGGCATTGTTTGATTATTCACCAGAAGATGACAGTACTATACCGTGTCCAGAGGCAGGTTTAGCATTTACTCGTGGTGAAATTTTACACATCGTCAGTCAGGATGACTCCACCTGGTGGCAGGCTAGAAAACATGGTGATACTAAAAATAGGGCAGGGATTATTCCCAGTAAACAGTTACAAGAACGGTAAGTTTATTGAATTTTCTATTTGTTTCTTTATATTACAACATTTATAGAGAGAGAGAGAAATGGGGTATAACATCCACTCGACACAAACTAGGTCATTTCGGGACTAACATATGGTTCAATTTTATATCAATACTTTGCTTGCGCTAGGGGTTTTTAGTAATGGGAGGAAACCAGAGTACCCGGAGAAAACCCACATGGTTGGACAGCCGACCCTACTCCTTGTCACGTACAACCGGGGAATCGAAACCACGCTAGTTGACTCAATGACAGACCTTATAACCTGAGCGATATTCAATGGTCATTGAGTTCTATATATTTACATGTATAACATCCATCACTATTGAATACACAAACATAGACAATAGTGGTGTATATCATTCAATAACACCTTACTGACAAAACACCTTACTAACAATTTTAACTGATTAACTAAAACACATTATGTATATAAACTGACGACTTGTATATTTTCATTAATAAAAGTTATTTGTTGTTTAGTCAACAATATCAACATTACAGCGATATTAGTGGGTTCTCTAGCCTCTCCGCACCCCCCAGCCCCACCCCACCTCCCCCCCCCACCTCCCCCCCATTGGAAATCTTGAGTATGACACCTATTCCTATTATGTGGGAGATTCTAGGTATTAAGAACGTTTATTTTTAATGTGATTTTTCAGAAGGGAAATGTTACGAAGATTGGCAGCTAAAGCAGAAGCAGAGAGATCAGAAACAAGTGAATTATAAATTTTATTATTTGGATGTTTTGTCCTGAGCCCTTCGATAAGTTGATTCTCATTTGGTATAAAATGTCTGGAAAAGTTTCAAGTAATTAGACAAAGAATATCCCTTGGCTACATCAAGTTATCACATGTTTGTGAAGTAGCTTTATTTAACGTCCGCTTCCACCGAGGTGATATCGCAGACAATAAAGTTATCACATATTGCTGTTGAATTTAAATAGTTAAATCTGTCTACTGAATCTGGGACTTTCCCTTTAAGAAAATAATGATAATAATAATAGTTGATTGTATAATTAGACATTGTTTTACAGGACCAATTAGTCCGTGTCATAATAGTCCGAGAATACCCCGTCAGAAACGTCTCAGGAAAACTATGTACCATGCTATACAAAATGGAGGTAAGTTTCTGTTTATCACATTTAACCAGTTTGAAACCAAAATTATAAATCTATGAGTGGTGAGTAGCCGTCCCAGATTTCGCTCATTAAGCAACAAGTTTTGTACAGTTCAAACTCATCAGACTTAAAAGAAAATGGGCAGATGTTCCCTTTATATAGTCGTTGGAGACCGGAGCACAAAAAGGGTCTTTGATGGACCTGCGTAATGATGTGTCACCGAAGCAACTGCTTCTGTTATTGGTGAACAGAGACACGGCTAAAGAATTGCCGTTATAAAAATGCTTATTTGCAAAGACTAACCAATTTTAATTTTATTGTATTTTCACGAATAGCTTGAAGCTATTAAAACATCAGGTCATTTTAGGATGAACATGTGGTCTTTCTTTATGTTCAGTATTCATTGGTGTGGTACCGTCGTCATTATCTCAGTCGGAGCAGAACAGTAGGACATTAAACCCCTTTTCATTTCATTTCATTTCATTTGTTTGGAAGGGGTGTTTCTTTTACATTAACAAGAGGTCAAATAACCTACAAATCTCCACAAGACCCTAATTAAAGATGCATATGTAAGATTTCGATAAAGAGCTGACAGTTCTTGTTAAAGATACATTATGGGAGATTTGATAACGAGTTGGCAGTTCTCACTATAATAGTTAAAAACTAAATAATGTAAAGACAATTTGCTGAAAATTTCATTCAGATTGATCCACTATGAACCGAGAACTAAGCGACTGAAATTTCTGGCTAGCCTTGATCATCATCATAGTCTCGATTATCCATTTATTGGTTAAATCGTAAAGGAAAGTTATGCAGTAAATCGGCTCATAATCCACTAAAGATCACGGGCTAGCGATGCCATCTAGAGTTGATTATGGTCTAGATAGGTTAATTAATGTCTAATTAATAGTTTATATAACATTTCAGGCCTAAAGAAAGACCTGCAATAGGCAGATTTAGCTCTTGCATGATGTATGTTTCAGGAACCGACCTGTTGACTGACAGACAGAAACACCCCATACACATCAATCAATACTGAATATAATGACTATGTTATTGTTTTAAGTGGATGTATTTATATTTTAGAGTATGATACAGATGCTGTTCCAACCTATGAAGAAGTAGAATTATATCAGGTCAAACCATACGCATTACGCCCAGTTATATTAGTAGGTAGGTCAATAGTTCAAACCATATATATTAATGCCCAGTTATATTAATAGGTAGGTCAATAGTTCAAACCATATATATTAATGCCCAGTTATATTAATAGGAAGGTCAATAGTTCAAACCATATATATTAATGCCCAGTTATATTAATAGGTAGGTCAATAGTTCAAACCATATATATATACTTTCGAATGTAAGAGTGCTTCTTAAGTGGCTATCCTGGGTGTCAGGGACTAGTTTCGTTCGTATTGAACTCTTCAGACGACTGATTGGACTCATGTGGCAGGCTTTTGATAATACTATTCCGACACTCCTGCGGGGTTTCTGTGGTCACAAATTGGCGGGGTTACCAAGATTTGCCTCTAAGCGCGTGTTGTGAATTTATTACCAGGGTCCATAGCTCGCTTATCGAAGGATGACAGACCTATCTGTCCAGTTAATTTAACGGACAATTATCTCCACAAAAAAGACACATACCAATCACCTCCCACTTACGATTTCCAAGGCATTTAGTTCAAATCATTATATAATCAAATATATTAACCCCCTTAACATGCACTCAATGCAAAATAGGTCATTTAAGGACTAACATATGGTTCGATTTTGTATTTCAATAATTTGCTTGTTCCTAGGGAAACAGGAAAACTTTAAAGAAAACCCATTAGGATGGACAGACGACACTACTCCTTGTCATGTACAAGTTGAGAATCAATGATCCATAAGACCATTAGACACCTCCCCCCACCACCTCCCCCCCTCCTCCTTCCCTCCTATCATGCTGTATACTGTGTAATGACAGGAGAATTGTATATTTATTTAAAGGTCCACCAGGAGTCGGTAGAAATGAATTAAAGAGAAGATTAAAAGCAAGTAATCCAGGTCATTTTGAGGAAGTTTTACCTCGTAAGTTTTATTTTTAAAGTTGGCCATGCTGATTGTTTGGATACAGGACCTACAACCAGAATTACATGAGTTCCAACCTTGACAGGGGCTTGGGGTATTTGTCATAATATTTCAAACCTGGTACTTCAAATTGGTATTTCTCGTAAAAGATCTACCAGGGGCCTTATTCACAAAAATATTTTAAGGATGCATCATTTTCATTGGTTGAAAGTTAAAATCCTCATACAAATTTTAGCTCTTGACCAATGAAAGGGCTGCATTCTTGAAACATTTTATTTTAGGATTTTGTAAATAAATCCCCTGTTTTATTTTATCAGTCCAATTATACCCTAACCCAAACCCGTCAGAATCTCCACACAATAAAGTTCTGTAAACTAGTACAGACAATTGGATTGGTCAAGAAGTTCATCAGCTTCCATGGAAATGTAACTAACGTCTTCAGATGGGATTTAATGTTCACTCAATGCAAACTAGGTTATTTCGGGACTAACTTGGTGCAATTTTATTTCTACTTGCGCGTTGAGGTCTTTTAGCAGTGTGAGGAAACCAGGGGGACTCGAAGAAAACCAACATGGCTGGACAAGTGACCCTTACTCTTTGTCAAGTATAAGGTGGGGATTGAAACCATGCCAGTTGACTCAGTGACAGACCTTATGATCTAAAGCAAACTGCACACATTAGACCCCCCTTGTCAAGTACAAGTGTGGCATCGAAACCACACCATTTGACTCAGTGACAGACCTTATCATCTAAAACACGTGTTTGACCACTAGACCCCTGCAAATACCCATAACTAATAGAGAGCTACGATGGCTAAGTGGGTAAGATGCTGGCTCGCAAGCCTGCAGATCGCGTGTTCGATTCCTGCATTAGCGGAGAAAGTTCATCAGGATTTTCCGGCGTGGTTTCCCCTTGTCAGTGGTGCAGGACGGACGGCCTGACATGGACAGCTGTCTAGTTGTTAGGATGAGATAGAAAACTGAGGTCCCATGTATACATTGGTGTGCAAGATGGAGGGCCACGTTATACATTGGTGTGCACGTTAAAGATCCCTTGGCAGTTGGAATTTGATATAAGAGTAGGCTATATTGCTGCTACCCGGGCAAAGTTTCCCGTATAGCACACTGTATGGCATATGCACGTCTTCATTAGCCCAGTCGGAGCAGAACAGTAGGACGTTAAACTCCATTTCATTTCATTTCATTTCCATAACTAACCTGAGATTGAGAATATGTCAGATGATTGATGTTTAATTTAAATGAAATTGTGAAGAGATCTACATGTAATTAATATATTGTAGATACATCACATCCTTTATGAATATATTTATTGTAGATACATCACGCCCAATTCGTCCGTTTGAAATCGATGGTAAAGAATACCGGTTTATATCACGTGAAGAGATGGAAGCTGATATACTAGCACAAAGGTACGCTATATTTTATATGACATGAGAAGGCTATTAGCACAAAGGTACGCTAAATTTTATATGACATCAGAAGTCTATTAGCAATAAGTTACGCTATATTTTATATAATTTGAAATCTGGTTGCTCCTGTCTGGTTGCTCCTGTCTGGTTGCTCTATATTGTAGCCTTGATCTAATTCCTCTATTATTGTAGCCTTGATTATCAATATAGAATATGAGAGGTCCAAGGGACTATTTCACTGAGCAGACGACTTCAAAGTGAATGTCCCAAACTTCTTTACAATTTTTGACTTTTGGGGCTGTTTTTTGTTACTATGGCAACTGGGAAAAGTATATTTCTATTTACTTTCCAGATATGCGGAGTACGGTGAATATAAGGGTAATTTATACGGAACACATATTGATTCAATACAAGCCGTTATTAACGCTAAAAAAGTTTGCCTTCTAACACCTCATACACAGGTAAGTTATGTCCCTTTAAGAGTATGAACAAAATTCAATTGTATAATCCATGTGGTCGACAAAGTAACTGATTTCATAACATGAATATCATCAGAATATTTATAATCTTCTCTACTAGCACCATACAGGGTATAGTCACTATTTATCTTCCCTTCGGCAGGTTGGATGGCCGAATGGTTAGCACGTGCGCACTGTATCTTAAGGTCTGTCATTGAGTCAATTGGCATGGTTTCAATTCCCTGGTTGAATCATGTGTTAGTCCCGAAATAACCTTGTTTGTGTCGTGTGGGTGTTAAACCAAATTTCTCTCTCTCTCTCTATCTTCCCTTCTTGACTCAGCCATTCATGACTGCAACTTCAGAATGTTTGCTGCAAACACCCTCAGAGTTGTTCATGAACTCTGCAATAGTTTCAGTGTGGATTGATTTAGTTGTCTCCCTTTGATGTGTCAAGGGAGGTAACTACTGTATAGCTTCTTAGAATTTCATGACATTTCTAATCTAATTATCATTAGCTTTCAGAAATGGGGTTAAATATCCACTTCAAACAAACTAGGTAATTTCGGGACTAACATATGGTATATAAATTTTGAATTTTTATTCCCAATGTGACATCCTTTGTAGACTTCCTGGATGATTTAGCTGGCTGGCAAACTATTTGGATATTAAATACAAGGAGGATTTCAAGTCTCTAAATTTTTATGTCGTAGAATTTGAAAAATAATTTTTTAAAAGTATAAGTTTCATCCACAAATTCAAAAATGGACTTTTTCATTAAACACAACTTATTGTGCAACAGATGTTGGCAGGAAGCAATGCATAGATTAAACACAGGGCTCACGCTGTCGGTTGCTAAACTTGCAATCTGCGATAAAAATATGAAAGTGGCGATTAAAATTTGATTTTGGTGATAACGTTTGGGTAACTGTTGATTCTTTTTGAGAACAGTTGGCAAAAAATCTAATCGTATATATATCCTAGATTGGCCATTACATTGACCGTCAATCACAATCAGATGGCGTGGCGGAAAACTATAAATTAATTAACTTGCTGATAATCGGGATTGTGTCAATGACTAATAGTAACCAAATGTCTTGGATTAATGATTAGCTGATTGATAATTGCCAATGATATCTAAAGTCACGGTACTTGAAAATAACAACAGGCCTAGAGTACACGCAAAACATAAATTGGATGAGATTTTCCGTGTAAATTTTGAAAATGTATTGTGCAATACTGTGTGCTAGAAGACTAAAGTCATCAAAATAAAATCTGATCTTAGTAAATCATCTCAAAACTGGGTTAATGCATTATGTAAAGACAGATTTTATAAGTTGTTGGACATTGTATATACCGGTTTGTTTTGTAACAGTCCTACCTGAGAAATAAAATTGGACATTGTTGAAAGCCAGCCTAAGCCCTGATTAAACATAACATTATTTAATAATGAATATGAGGATAAAATGTTTAGAATATAAAATGGACATGGTTAAATAAATTTAAATGAAGATGCAACTAGCTGATTAGAGCAATTCGTCACTTTTCTATACAAAATCTGTGTGTTTTTTTATCACTTTAGAATTAATATATTGTGTACAAAATATTACCACATACTGCTGTAATTTAAAACAGCTCATAAAATACTGAATTATACATAAAAATATAATGTGACGGTTATGGGCGTTGAGCAGTCTAAAACGCACATTTTAAAGCTAGTACTTTAATATTTGTTCATTGGGGTGATAATTACATATTAATCACCCAAAAAATACCAATTTTATTTACCAACTTATGTTCCTAACTTGGCCCACATGATAATAAAGAGTGCTGATGACAACAAAAGTCGAATTTTCTCATTTATGCCTGTATGGATTTTCACCTTCTTGTTTGCTATAAATAGTCTTTTTTTTCTTTCTCCTTGTGTCTCCAATATTACCCAACAAACGGTTGGGCTGTTATGTGTCCTCTTGAGTTATTTTACACATGGAACAAGTGTGCAACGTCTTGAAAAGTTTGTGCGTATCATCGACTACTCAACGCCCTTAAATATAAAAACATATTATGGATAACAGTTACTATAGTTTCAACATGTTTTAATTCCTGGGCATGCTAGGATGTTGTGACTAACTGTTTAATGACCATTTATATTTTTATTCCTATCTAGATACATATAGGTAGAGACCTAGTGCACTGTTTTGCCCAGGGGCATAATCCTGTTATGACCCTCCATAAATATTGTTTTATTTGATTATGTTCAATTACTAAATGTTATTCAAACAATAATATATCCTTATTAGGGTGTTTATTCAGACCTGAGGGAACATAAGATCTCGCTCTCTCTCTCTCTCTCTCTCTTCAGTAAAGGTGAGACATTCCCCTGAAATCCAAAATACTGCTCCATTTGGCTCTATAAGTAGTGACATAATATGAGATAGGGGTTTGCTTACTCTTTCTAGAACATCTGATACCACTTCTGATTTCTTGAGTCAGTGGAACCTAAAACCCTAGCTAATCAATGCAGGTTTAACAGTTTGTAAACCCCTTGGTCTAAAGGTACCGTGAGGACCCTTGGCGAAAGGTACTGTGAGGCCCTCTGAAACTTATTTATATGTTATGAATCTAGGAAACTTTTACCCATCAAGCACCCCTGGTATACGGGATAGTGTTTCTGTTTTGTCTATGTTTACTGGAGTCGCAGTGGTTCAGTGAGTAAGGCGTTGGCTCACTAACCTGAGCCATATTCGATCCCTTTTTGGGTGAGAAAGTTCATCATGATTTTCCCGGGTGATTCTCTTGTGTCAGTGATGTAGGATGGGGGGGGCCTGGCAATGGACAAAGTATAGTCATATGGATGGGATAAAAACCAAAGTATTGTGTACAAATGGAGTATGGACACATAAAAGAACCTTTGGCAGTTGGAATTTGAAATAAGAGTAGTTCTTAGAGGTACTGTCCAGGCAAAATTTACCTCATAGTACATTGAATGGTGTATGCAAGTCTTCATTAGCCCTGTCAGTTCAGAACAGTAGGTCGTTAAAACCCATTTCATTTAATTTCTGGGGGGTTGGATGGCCGAATGGTTAGCATGTGCGTGTTGTATCATAAGGTCTGTCATTGAGTCAAGTGGCACGGTTTCGTTTCTCCAGTTAAAGGTGACAAGGAGTAGGGTAACCTGTCCAACCTCATGGGTCCTCCGGTTTCCCCCCACTGTTAAAGACCCCTAAAGGCAAGCAAATTATTGAAATAAAATTGAACCATGTGTTAGTCCCAAAATTCCCTAGTTTGTGTCGAGTGGACTTTCCTTTCTTTACTACAGGGAACACTTTTTTAAATGAATAATTTGATGTACTTATACTTTAAGTTAGCATTCACCCTACCCTCCACCCCCACTACAATCACAAATTGTCAGAAAACCTTAAAATCCACCCATGTCTTAATCTTGTATGGGTCTAAGAAACCAACCAACACCATAATCCAGCATTGGTCATGGTGTTTGCTTTAGTAAATAAGTTGAGTTATATAGAGAATACTGTATGTCATTAAATATTTCATGAGGTATATTACAAATACTGTAACATTATATTATATTCAACTCTCTCACTATTAAATCAATATTATATCCAGCTTTAACCCTTTAGCTCTTAGTTCATGTTAATTATATACTCCAGTTCATTGAAAATAATTAAATAAAAGTGATATATTAACACCAGTACACCCCTGGCAAGATTGGAACAGTCCAAAATTACTGTTCCTTGACCGTTTAAAACTGTCTGAGATATGAGAATAGCTTTCCATATTATAGGACCATTTACTAGTTCATACGGGTGCCACAGCTGTGCATGTGGTGATCGGGTGGCTATGAGCAGTATAAGGAGCCCTAGTAAGGACGATTTGGGTCTAAGTAGCCATAGTTGCTGAGGTTTGGCACGGTCTTAGGAGCCTTAGGAGCCGTAGTTATAGAGATTTGGGGGCGATCTAAGTGCTAAAGGGTTAAAGTTGCGTTATTGATTTATAATAAAAATAAACGAAGTGTAACCATTGAACTTAACCATTGAACTTGTCGAACTATTTAATCAATAGGATGGCGAAGCTTCAAGTAGCAGATATTGTTATATTGTTATTAATCTATAAAAACCAATCATGTCCAGAGTATTAAAATATACTATATAATGTTTATCAATATGATGGCCAAGCTTCAAGTCATATTATTGTTATTTGTATCAAATTCTAACAGGTCCAATCTTTGCATGGAAGTACTATATTATGATTATCTACAAAAACATAATATTAGGCTGACCTTAAAAATATCTTTGTTTCGCCTAACGCGACCGACTAACTAAAACCACCCCCGACTTAAATTATTTTATTGCACTTTTCCGCGATCTTTTTATTTTATTTTGTGTGTCAACCTGAAATATATCACGAGAGTTATTTCCCTTTACTATGGCTATGGTTTGATTCATTATTGAAACTGGTTGATCAAGACGAAAGCGTCATAGGTGTCGCTTCTCAACAAAATGGTTGCAGACGAAAGCACGTCCATTCCCACGAAATGATTCTGCCTCTATGTCTGTGGGGCGTCGTTTTAAACATGACGACGATATTTTCAATATCCGTTTTCGAGAAAAATGAAGGCACAACCCGCACGATCGTTAAAAACGTGTTGAGGGAGTTTCAAACGTGAGTTTGTGGCAATTTGTGTGCGAGTCGTGCATCAAGAAAAATCCCGATGTCATTGATTTGTTTGCCAATAAAAGAAGACGAATGTTTGCACCCGAAAAATTATCAAGCTGTCAAATTAGCTCTTAAAAAAAAAATCTGAAAAAAAAACCGACCTACCGACCCTTCTCCTCGATTGTGGGTCGGGTTTGGTGAAACAAAGATATTTTTAAGGTCAGCCTTATGATCATTTACAAAAACTAATGAATCTTACAAACCTCCTCATTTCTTGAAGAAATAAAATGGGTTTAACATCCTACTGTTCTTCTTGGACTGGACTAATGAGAGAGAGAGAGAGAGAGAGAGAGAGAGAGGGTTTAACGTCCACTCGACACAAACTAGGTCATTTTGGGACTAACATATGGTTTAATTTTATTTACATAATTCTCTTGCGCGTAGGGGTCTTTAGCAGTGGGAGGAAACCGAAGGCCCGGAGAAAACCCACGAGGTTGGAGAGGCTACCCTACTCCTTGCCACGTACAACCGGGGATTCGAAACCACGCCAGTTGACTCAATGACAGATACAGCGCGCGCACGCTAACCATTCAGCCATCCAACAACCCCTGGACTAATGAAGACAGTGAACTATTATGAAATGAAATGAGGTCTAATGTCCTACTGGGCTAATGAAGATGGATTTCTTAAAGATGCAATGCATTATGTAAGATTTAGATGAATAATTGCTGTTTAAAAGTGATTAGCGAAATATAAATATTTAAAATTTCAGTCACATGACTTTATTTTGATCAAAGTTATGAATGTTTGAAGAAATAGTGTAGTCTCGATTGTCAAGTATCATTGCTACGATAATAAACAGTCTTGATTTTCTATTTTAACATTTAACAAAGATATGGCAGACATTATATAATCCACTTAATATCTAAGCCATCTGATGAACTAGAGAGTTGATTATGGATTTATCATGTGAATAAATGTCTAAATAATAATTTGCATAACATTTCATGCCAGATAAAAGAAATGTAATAGGCAGATTTAGCTCTTACATAATGCACCTTTATATAGATCATTTGAAAGATCCAATTCTTAATAGTCGTTTGGATGGGATGGAAAAAAATGAGGTTCCTTGTATGCATTGGCGTGCACGTAAAAGATCCCTTGGCAGTTGGAATTCGATATAAGACTAGGCCATAGTGACGCTGTCTGGGTAAAAATTTCCCTCATAGCACACTGAATGGCATATGCCCGTCTTCATTAGCCCAGTATGAGCAGAACAGTAGGAAGTTAAACCCCATTTCATTTCCAAAGCTGTGCATGGGATGGAGCGGTTTGGGGGTGGTCTAAGGAGCCCTAGTGGTAAAGGATTAATAATGTTATATTTTAACATATCAAATATAATATATTGTATTCTCATAATACTACCATACCAATACTACACTAACCTGAACACTAACCCTTGTTTATTTCCTGTAGAGGTGGTATTTTATTTTATATTTTAGGCTCTCAAGTTAATGAGAACTAGTGATATTAAGCCTTATATAATATATATCCGACCTCCATCATTAGAATGTCTCCAGGCTACAAGATCTGTATCACTGGCCAGATGTACCAATTCAGATACAGATGATACCAAATTATTTACTGTAAGTCATTCATATATTCAGGGACATTAGGCTGATAATAGGCCCCCAATGTATATATAATGTAGTTTTTAAAATCAGTTTATAGAGGCAAAAATAAAGCATTATATTTATTAGATCAATTTTTTATGAGCATGGACCACTTGAGCTTACATGGACCCCGGAACGTTTGTCCTATGTACAGGTTGGCTTGCATGTAAAAGATCCCTTGACAAGAATTGAAGTAAGAGTAGTCTATCTTCATTAGTCCAGTTGGTGCAGGAAAGTCAGACCGTAACCCCATTTCTCTCTTCTCCATTAAACTTGTGGAATGCTGAAAATCAATTGGGTTCATCCTTCACACAAAATTTGATAAGAATCTGTCGAAAAATGTAGCCTCTTTTCCCAGTTATCCCCCTTTGAACAAAACCTTGTGAGCTCAATAGAGGCTAAAGTTTTTAACAGTTTCCTTTAAGATTGGAAGCACAGAGGTCATGAGAGGATGAAACCTATCAATATCTGGTATTCTCTGATATTTAATTCCAGAGAACACCTCCCTCCATCCACTTTCAGTTCCAGAGTTATAGTCATATGCTGAAATATCAAATTTGGTCAACATTGCTGCTGTGTGGTCATATTTACTTGCCTTGTGTGGAGATCTGTTTCATTTCATTTCATTGTTCCTGTCTTATAATTTAAATTGTTTGTTTTATTCCAGACAGAAGAACTGCAGGACATGATTGATTCAGGTCATAAATTAGAGGAGAGATTCGGACATTTATTTGATTATGTTATAGTTAACGCTGATTTAACGGACGCTCTACGGGAACTGATATTAATAACAAATAAAATAGAAAAAGAACCACAGTGGGTGCCGATAGGATGGTGTCAATGATTAATGTGCTAATTAGAATTTAATAAATTGTTATTTTTATATATTTCGGTGTGGATATTTCTTGGATTGCCTGGTTTCAGACTGGTTACAGAGAGTTGGAAATTCCCACACAACGCTTCTAACTCAGCAATGGTTAGCATTAGGTAAGATTAACCCGTTCAAGGGGTCACGGTGGCTAAGTGGGTAAGACGCTGGCTCGCTAGCCTGGAGGTCGGGTGTTTGATTCCTGCATTGGCCGAGAAAGTTCATCCAGATTTTCCGGCGTGGTCCCCCCTTGTCAGTGATGCAGAACGGAGGGCCTGACAAGGACAGCTATCTAGTCATTCGGATGAGACGAAAAACTGAGGTCCCGTGTACACATTGGCATGCACGTAAAAGATCCCTTGACAGTTGGAGCTCGATATAAGAGTAGGCCATAGTGCCGCTGTCCGGGCAAAATTTCCCTCATAGCACACTGTATGGCGTATGCCCGTCTTCATTAGCCCAGTTTGGAGCAAAACAGTAGGACGTTAAACTCCATTTCATTTCATTTTATTTCATTTCCTTAAAGTTGATTTTTTCCCGAATATGAGTCATTAAACTTATGTCTGATGGTATTTACGTAACAGGAGAACCATGGTGGCTAAGTGGGTAAGACGCTGGCTCACTAGCCTGGAGGTCGTGTGTTCGATCCCTGCATTGGCTGAGAAACTTCATCGTGGTTTATCCGTCGTGGTTTCCCCTTGTCAGTGGTGCAGGATGGAAGGCAGCTGTCCTGTCTTTCAGATAACACGAAAAACTGAGGTTCTGTGTATAAATTGGTGCACGTAAATGATCCCTGGGCAGTTGGAATTCGATATAAGAGGAGGTCATTCCGCCACTGCTCGGGCAAAATTTCCCTCATAGAACACTGTATGCCATATGTCTGTCTTCATTAGCCCAGTCAGAGCAAAACAGTAGGATGTTAAACCCATTTCATTTTGCTAACTTAACAGAGAGAGAGAAATGGTGTTTAACGTCCACTCGACATGAACTTGGCCAATTTAACAAAAGGAGGAGAACAGAGGATTTGAAAAAAACCCAACGAGGTTATTGATGTATTTCTAGAACACCTGATACCACTTCACTTTTGTACTGGAAACCAACTTCCTTGCTGAAATTACAGAATCTATAAAATCAATAACATTCAGCTATGAAAGCAATAAACTCCCATCTATAAAAGCAATAGCATTCAGCTATAAAAGCAATAACACCCAGCTATAACAGCCATCTATAAAATCAATAACTTCCAGCTATAAAATCAATAACATCCATCTATAAAATTAGTAACCTGCATCTATGAAATCAATAACTGCATCTATAAAATTAAAAACCTTCACCTATAAAATTGATAACCTTTATCTATAAAATCAATACATTTATCTATAAAAATCAATACCATTTATCTATAAAATCAATACCATTTATCTATAAAATCAATACCATTCATCTATAAAATCAAAACCATTCATCTATAAAATCAAAACCATTCATTTATAAAATCGGTAACATTCATATATAAAATCAATACATTCAGCTATAAAATCAATAACATCGAGCTATAAACTCAAGAACCGCCATCTATAAGGTCAGAAACTGGTAAATACTGTAAAATTCAAAGTGATTGGAAGTAGAATATGTGATATTTAAGTTAAGTATATTTCTGTTTACATGATTCTAACTCAATAACCTATCATTAGTATTGGTGATAAGTGAAATAAAATCCTTCTACAGCATTTAGTAATTGAATATTTATAATTATAAAATACAATTTATATTGAAAACAATGACTGAGTTTATTTCACACTACATTTCAACAAGTTCCTCTTGTCTTTCTCAAATAAGTAATGACAGTATAATAGCAACAAATCAAATTATATTCTTTTTGTTACCTTGTTGTATATAAAGTGATTTCTTGCCATTACACTGCCATTATTTACTTGAGAACTAATGTACCTTCTCTCTGCCCTCCTCAGAAAAATGTACTTCTTCTCCACAAGTTCTCCAATTAGACTATGTACCCCCTCTCCACAAGTTCTCCCATCAGACTAATGTACCCCCTCTCCCTCAAATTGTCCCATCAAACTAATCTACCCCCTCTCCCCATGTTCTCCCATCAAACTAATGTAATTTTGTTTTAATTGTACTTAATTTTATTTTGCCTTGTATTTTCATTTTAATTCATTATTATTATTTTTCACTAAATGTTTTTATTATTTGAAATTCAAATTACCCACACACACACACACACACACATACATACCCACCCACCCACCCACACACAAAAAAAAAACAAAAAAACTTTTAAGTTGACCTGAAGCAAACGAAATCCCAAAATGCTATTGCGAGAACAGCAGGTCTCCTTAATGTTTTTAATTCTTTAAAGTTTCATTTCTTTGTAGTTTATTTAACTTCATCCAGTTTTCATTTTACTTTGTTAAATTAATACTTCAAACAGATTTTAATCTTTTTTATTTTCTATTTTTAATCTGGACGGGATGTTGGGAGAAGTTTAAAAATCTTAAATATGTGAAACGGAAATATCCCCGTGACACATTTTAAAACAAAAGGCCACAGAAGTGTTAGTAATAATATGTAAGATTTTCTCAATTAATGTCCTTATATTTCACTTTAACATATTTTTTAGACCCCTATTAACATAGATCACATAATGGCGTCCGTGATAATATGAGATAGATGGTATAAATTGCTTGAAACGGAGAGAGAGAGAGAGAGAGAGAGAGAGAGGGGGGGGGGCTTCCATCCTAGGTCCTTATAAGCGTGGGTCCAGGGGCCGCAATAACCTGGAGAAAAGAGTACTTGCGGCGGGTCTGAGAGAGATCTATCAGCAATATTAACTTTTCAAAATTTTCAAAATCTTTGGGAGATGTCCAGGAAGTTATGTACCACAGAAAAAAATTCTTCCGAATTGTTTCTGTCTTCAGTTTCCAATAATAAATTTTGAGAATTTTGATAAAGTTGTGAGAGTTTTGATATTGTCACAGATCATGTGTTGTTACGTTTATAAAGGTAATAATACATATTGATTCAGAAAGAGGTTTCATCAGTTGTGGTTTCCCCTGTCAGTGGTGTCGATCAGATCGAGTGTATGGCAAAATCAGCGTCTAGTCATTCGGATGGGACCAAAAAAAAACGACGTCACGTGTACACCACTGACCGTTGGAATTCGACGAAGAGTAGGCATGGCGTATGCTCACCATCATTAGCCCGGTCGGTGCAGTCGCTTGATAAACTCTATTTCATTTCGACATTTTTGCCGAAACTGAAGCTCTGTATTTGCAGGACTCAACAAGTGCCTAATATCAAATATCTCATCATTATACGTCAACTAGAACGTATCAAACTACTTTCTTTTTATATGTATGTTATGTTGACTACACGCACATTATTATAGCTTGACAACAAAACATGCTTTTATACATGTCTCGACTGTTTTCTATAAAACTGTAGTCTTGGATACGTCATGGTTCGCTTCACATAATATGCATAATAATGAACAGAATGAATATTAATAAGACGAGTCGATTCGTGTAGCGTGGCCCACTCCATTGCGCTGAAAGTGAAACAGTCTACAGCAGAAACTCGCAGTGTAAACACGTAGTTTTCAAACTCGGATAGTAAAATCTCGTTATTTTGAAATCAAAATGGGTCTTACAGCTCAACAGAAGGACGCTTATACTCAATTCTTCAAAGACACTGATGTTGACGGCAATAACCACTTAACAAAGGTGGAATTGCATACTATGATCACGAAAAAGCTCAAACTTAAACTTTCGGACGCTGAAGTTATGGTAAGTAGAAAGCATTCATTCATAATATATCACGTAAACAACTTTCGGAGGGGGGGGGGGGCTAGCTGATTCAGCCACTGCTAGGTCTCATATTTTAGGACATCTAACACAACTCCTATTTTAGGACATCTAACACACCTCCCAGGACATCTAACACAAACCCTAGGACATCTAACACAACTCCTATTTTTTAAAAGCCCCCCCCCCCCCCACCACAGTACCGGATTTCGGCATCCGCTGCTAATCTATCAAAACTTGGAATCTAGCAATCCGCCAATGGCGTCGTAGAATAATTTCACCCGTCTTCATTTGGCCGGCAAGGAGTTAGTAAGCATTCGAATAGAGTTTCTATGCTGTACGTTAAGAAAGGCAAAGGTACCAATGGGACTGGGAAATAATGCCATGTTTACCTAATTATACATGTATCTTTATAAATATAAATTATATTTATAATGTCGGTGGTATATTCTCATGTTACATGACATATTTTGCTGAATTGCAATAGTTATTATTTGTCTAGTTTGGCATCCATCTTTATTGACAACTGACACAGCGACTCGCTAATCAATAATACCGCTATTACCTATAACAGGTGGGCGTGATCTGTACTGAGTGATAGAAGCAAATGGAATGGGGATTAACTTCCTCTACTTGTCTGCACCGACTGGGAAATGAAAACGTACCTACATCAAAACATTCTGCTCATGGAGATTTTTGCTTGGACAGTGGCGCTAAGGCCTGATCTTATATAGAATTCCAAAATAATGTTATTAATTTTGAATCTGAAGTAGGTTCACTTAATTATCGTAAAAACAAATACTTATGGCAACGACTTGTTGAACTCCCAGAAAACCACTGGTATAAATGTACACCTGGTAAATTGAAAGTTAAAACTATCAGCAACGGCTGGGGAAAATTATCTAAAAACATTCAAACAGCAAGATTTGAACCAGATCTAGATTTAACTGCTAGACTCACTGACTAATCAGCTATATTCAAGAAATCTAAAGGTTGTATAAGTGCACGTTGATAACCCACGGGTAATCTAGTCCTTTAGGTACAAATATTACACCAATTTACAGTCTAACATTTTAACTAGCAGAAAATTATAATCGCCTCCAAATGAGATGCGTGTCAAATATCAGTCGTGTTTATACACCCATTATATCTTGGTCAACGTAACCTACAACAGGGTTTAAACCACACTGATCTGCAGTGAATTTTCGCTAGGCTGCTACAATCACTGATAAGGATGACATCGATGCGACTTAATGATTCCCAAATATTAACTTTTTTCTTCCGTCAAATTAAATTCTAAAACAGAGCCACACTTTATATACTTATTCTTTGTACCCTAAGGAACATTCCTATCATTTGGAACATCCTTATCATTTGGAGTAGGCCCTACATGCCCAACCCCCAGGGGCAGAGCCATGCCAATTTTCTTTTTGTGTGTCGCCTACAGGCCACAATTCTAAATCGATCATCTTGAAACTTAAAATACATATTCCTTATACCCTGAGGTTGGTCCCTTTTCTTTTGGGTGCATGCCCGATTTTGGGGAGATAACTCCATTTAACAATGTCAAACTCCATTTAACAATGTCAAACTGACGTGATATGCTTTAAATAGTTGTCACCCATGTAACATTCGGGTTTTTGTGAGTGGTTTCTGAGAGCCTTTGTTCAACTTATTTTTCAGAACGCTTTGTAAGTGTTAGAAGTATTTATACCGGTTATTTGTTGACGTTTCAAACCACCGTTTTCTCCCCCTTTCCTCCCACTGCTAAAGACCTTTTGGTACTGCAATGACAATGTCTCTCTCTCTCTCTCTCTCTCTCTCTCTCACACTAAATAAATTATAAATTCATGTAACTGCAAGTACATGTGCGTTTTCAGGATGTACATTTTTAAAAAGTCTTATGTTTGGCCCACTTTTTGCCTTTGGAATGTGAAAGGCACAATTCTGAATGCATTATCTTGGTATACTTATTAATAAGTTATACTCTAAGGACAGGAACTATTGATGTTGATGCACGACCCTCAACGCTAAACAAACCAAAAGCCTAGCCTTCTTGACAAAGTACCTTGTCAATCAAAGCAGAATTGGAATGTGGACGTATATTGTAGCGTTAGCGTTATGTTTTTCATTTATTAGACAAATAAATAAAGACGTCTGAATTATTTGTAGGTAAAAATCATTTCCTATTTAGTGCAAATGAGTATTAAAATAAGTAAAATTCACCATTTAGCCCGAATCAGTAACGTCTTATGTAAACGATGCACGCACTATTGAGCCAATGATTGACGCCGCGTGATGCAACTTCACGTGTCGAAACAGTCATCTGTTACAGAGATATTAGAAGATCTCTGTGAAACAGATTGGGCTTAAACGCGCGTGGTTTAATGTGAGAGTGAAATGGGCTTCAACGTCCACTCGACACAAACTAGGTCATTTCTGGATTAATATGATTCAATTTTATATCAATAGCAGTGGAGGGAACCGGGGAACTCGGAGAAAACCCACGAGGTTGGACAGGGGATCCTACTCCTTGTCACCTACAAGGGGAGAATCGAAACGACGCCACTTCGGGACTAACATGATTCAATTTCCTTTCAATAATTCGCTTACTTGTAGGGATCATTAGCAGTGGGAGGGAAACGGAGAACCCGGAGAAAGCCCACGGGGCTGAACAGGCCACCCTACTCCGTGTCACGTACAAGCGGAGAGAATCGAAACAAAGCCACTTGACTCAATGACAGACCTTGAACCACTAGCCCCCCCCCCCTGTTTAATGTGGGATATATTAACATATAAAGATAACTATATATATGGAATAACATTATAACAATGACTTCCCTGATGACGAAGACTAGAGATGCCTAGTTGAAGTATTGCTGTAATAAAAGCTAAAAAATTGTTATTGCAATCGGATTACAACACAGATCCTATTTCGTTTCGTTTTTTATAGTTCAAGATTTCGTTTTACTTGTCTTCACTACACTGGGATCTAGAAGGGGAGATAACCCGCGTTCTGCATCATGTGAGGGATTAGCCAATGAATCTGTCTGTTACGGCGAGTTTTTGGCGTAAGGTGCACGGAACATTGGGTAAACCACTAGAAACGTCAACGCTGATTGATTAATCAGTGTCTGGCGTCATAAGGTCAAAAGCCGCTCGTATGACGTCTGACGCGACCTTCCACTACAAATGGCCAGATCTTCATGTATAAAAAAACGGAACGAAATATAAATCATTAGATCTATATTTCAGTTAGATTGTTGTTATTGCATATACATTGTAGTTATCTTTATTTTATGTTTGTCAATTACTGATTAAATGCCATTTGCACAACACATTTGTTGTGTGTGTGTGTGTGTCATACGACTGGTGAATATGTATCCAATTGCATAGAACTAGAGTATTCCAGTTCTATGGTTTAATTGATGTGATATATTTGTTGTGTGTGTTATATTACTGGCAAATATGTACTCACGTGGTTTAACTGTCTTTGTAGATTTCCATATCATAAGTTCTAATAAATTTTAACCCTACATTCAACAGTTAAATAAAAATAGATGAAATGGGATTTTATGGCTCTACTTTTCTGCTCCGACTGGGCTATGACAGAAACGTTGCCCGGACAACAGCGCAAGGCGGATGATCCTGGCAAGGACAACGTCTATTCCATCGAATGGGATGAAAAACCGAGGTTCTGTGTACGCGTCGGCATGTACGTTAAAGAACCATTTCCAGTCCGGGCAAAATCCCCCACATAGCATACTTTATGGTGTATGCGTGTTTTCATTAACCCGGTCATTTCATCAATAGTTCTAAGATATTTTATCAGCGTGGTTCACCCTAGTTCAGCCATGAACGTAAGTCTCCCGCCCTGTACAGGGCGAGGGTAACGAGACTTACGTTTAGAACCAAACTAGGTTCACCCCATCGCAGGATATGGCATTTAAATCAAAGCTTGTATAATTTCAGGAGATGTTTAGCGGTATTGATGGTGATGGAGACGGTATTGTAACTTTAGACGAATATTTGAATGAAATGGGAAAAGTTAACCCTAAAGACTTACAGTAAGTCCGATTCTTTTCCCTATAGCATTGTTATGTCCTGTTATATTTGTCCTCCGCCTTTCGAAGAAAGCAGGGGACTATTAAAATGGGTTCGTCTGGTGTGGGTGTTTACTAGGCCAATGCCTTGATGGAGTTCGAAGATGAGCATTTTCTGCTTAGGGTAAGCAGAGATAAGCAATTTGATTGATTGATGCTTTGGGACACGATAACTTTAGTTCTAATTAAGTGAGCGTGATGAACTTTGGTTTATAGTTTTATTACATCAATACCATGACTAAGTTCGATAATGGGCATTTTCTGCCCCGGGTAAGCAGAGCGATAAGCAATTTGATTGTTCGTGACTTTGGAACACAATAACTCGACATCTAATTGAGGTAGAATGTTCAAACTTGGTGTAGGTGGTCATTAGGTGTATGTCTTGGTGGAGTTCGATGATTAACATTGTCTGCTTTGGGGCACGATAACTTTGGTTATAATTAAGCGAGAGTGATGAAACTCCGATTATAGATTTATTAACTGTATGTACCCTACTTATTTTTCATGTTTTGATTGCAGAAATGAACCACATTGCTTTCAAACAAATCTGATTATTATTGACGCCATTTTAATTTTTCTTTTTCAGAAGAGCCGATTTTGAACGAATATTTGAAACCATTGATAAAGATGGAAGTGGATTGTTAGATGGTGGCGAGGTGCAGACATTATTTAAACAATGTGGACACGATGTATCAGGTGACGAGATCGATGGAATCATTTCACAACTAGACAAAGATGGCGATGGAAAAATCAACATTGCCGAATTCTTAAAATTGTTCTAATGATTGGTCATTTTGTTATTTTTCGTTTTATTTCATATCCACGCTTCAGTTCTAACCAATCGCCGAACTTTGGTCAGGATATATTTGTTTTTGATTCTTGGCACTTGCAACGGCAGAGACTGTTTTTAGTCATGCATAGCTAAAAAATTAGAAAACTCAAATCCGAAGTTACGTTCACCGAGAGGAATGTCCTTCAAACAGTAACATGGCCAGCGTTCTGCCACAAAACATACAAAATTCGATTTTATGTGAACGATAATATCACGGAGCCGATGACCCGTGCTTTTTCCTCAGTGTGAGTGGGGATATGTCTCTAGTTTAAGGGTCCATTTAAGTTGGGAGATGTCAATGAATATAAAATATTAAAAATATTTCCAATTATATAATTAAACTGATTATTTTTTGAAATTGAACCAAATCAGTAGCCTCATTCCATTTTTTTTTTTGGTTGATGATATTCGGCAATGACTGGATTATTTTTTGGTTGATGATATTCGGCAATGACTGGATTATTTTTGAATTAAGTACTTTAATGTTAAAGACAGACCACTGTTTCTCCCTCTCTTGCCTCTATTTTATTATTTTGTATTATTAGATAATTCTTTTTTTATTTGTTGACAAATAAACAATGTAAACATTGAAACTGCCCCCCTTTTTTTACGAAGGTACAGAGCGAGCGAGAGAGAGAGGTTAACATCCACTCGACACAAATTAGGTCATTTCGGGACTAACACATGGTTCAATTTTATTTCAATAATTCGCTTGCACGTAGGGGTCTTTAGCAATGGGAGGAAACCGGGGGAAACGGAGAAGGCCCATGAGGTTGGACAGGCGACCATACTCCTCGTTACGTACAACCGGGGAATCGAAACCACGCCAGTTGACTCAGTGACAGACCTTATGATACAGCGCGCACGTGCTAACCATTCCGCCACCCAACCCCAGGTACAAAGCGGTGCGATATATAGCTGTTTTGAAAATACGGTAAAACAATCAAGAAGCGGTGTTGTTAGTCTTGATCGCTCCAGTCTTTCAACTGCAAAGAATATTGATGGGCGGGGGGGGGGGGGGTATTATGGCGTCCATTGACTTTAATCTTAATTCTCGTCTCTTAGGCCGGCTCTAACTTTATCGCAGATTTTCGTTGGGTAGAACGCTTTCTACCACAGATGGAGCAGCATGTAGCAACCCCCTGCTCAAAAGCATGTGTGAGGTTCATCATAGAGAGAGAGAGAGAAATGCGGTTTAACAACACTCGACAAAACTAGCTCATTTTGGGACTAACGCATGGTTCAATTTTATTTCAATAATTCGCTTGCGCGTAGGAGTCTTTAGCAGTGGGAGGACCCGGAGAAAACCCACGAGGTTGGACAGGCGACCCTACTCCTGTCACCTACAACCGGGGAATGGAAACCCCGCCAGTTGACTCAATGACAGACCGTATGATATAGCACACTCGTGCTAACCATTCGACAGCCCCCCCCCCCCCCCGGTCATCATGGAAAACTTGTGATACACAAGCTGGAAGTAGAGACCAGTAAACATGCAATTTTCCGCCGTACATTTCAACCTAATCAACTTCTTAACTCTCGAACCCTTTACTAAAACCTGGCAGAAAATGTATATTCAAACTCTTTTCTTCAATTTTACAACAATCAACAAAGATCGCCATGCAAAAGGGGGAAAAGAGAAAGACTAAAAATAATTCTCGCCCTTCTTTCTTGGGTCAGCGCAGGAATAATTGTCGTCCATTGGATAACTGACTGTCAGCTGATGCCGAGGGTTGAAAGAACTGGTGCTCCTTTTCGAGAGTCAACGAAGCAAGGAACCCAGAGACCCGAAGCAGTCTCTTTAATGTGAGATCGGGGACTTCGTTGCGTATATAAAATGGATGTTGAATCTGGAACATTTGGCGATTGATTGATGCTTGAGCCTAAACTGTTAGCCGATAAAACTATTTTATCTCCCTTTCTCGCCCACCAGAAAAAAAACCTCATCCAAATAAAGACGGACGATCTCGCGAAATCTTAATGAATTGATATATTTTATATAACTAATCATTCTGTCACCTCTAGCCTCACAATCAATTGGCCCAATCGGCTTTCTCACATCTGCACTGACCGCGGCGTCTTTAAAAATCTAAACGTTCAATCAATTATAAAGACATTTTCTCCAAAGAAAGTTACTAATTTCCCAGTTGAATAACTTAACACTAAAGTGGCGCCGTAGCCCGGTGGAAGTACATTGCTTTGTTCGTGGGTCTTAAATATCATTCCAACTAAAATGTTTACCTGTAATAATCAAGGTACATATACTCAGCCAAATTAAAAACTTGACACTCGGGATTTTTGGGACTAGATTTTTAATATTTGGTTTAAGGCAACTATTTTAGTGTTATGCTGTGCACAGACGACCTTGACATCAACAGAAAGCAAGAATACGTCTCGCCGAAAGTCCTTGACATTGATAACGTTCGTGATGTCACAGTACCCCCCCCCCCCAAAAAAAATGAAATTCACAGACTTGGAGAACAATCGGAATAAAGTGTTTAGTAACGGTTGTGGCCTCCTCTAGCGTCTCGTACTGCCACACGACGTCTTCTCATGGATCTCAGAACATTAGTAAACACTACCCGGGAAGACGTCGCCACTGCTCAGCAAGAGCATGTTGAAGGTCCTGCAACGTCAGTGGTGGATTCACTTACTGACGAACACGTCGACCCAGTTCGTCCCAGGTGTGTTCAATAGGATTAAGGTCGGGGCTAAGCGACGATCAATCCAGGACTTGAACACCGGCATTTCTTAAAAAATTCTGGGTAGCAATTGCTGTATGGGGTCGAGCATTGTCATGTTGAAACGTTAGTCCAGGCCCATGTCTCTGCATAAACGGAAGAAGAACACGTTGCAAAATCTGATCCTTGTACTGGACAGTTTTTAAGTTCCCTCGGACAACAACAAGAGGAGAACGTCCATGTGCACAAAAAGAACCTCAAACCATGACGCTGCCGCCACCAAATCGGTCAACTTCTCCTACGCATACTTGAGCGTAACGTTCACCTCGTCTGCGGTACACTCGGGCCCTGCCATCGGCAAATCTCAAAGTGAATCGAGATTCGTCACTAAAGACAACCGAATTCCACTGTCTTTGGGTAAATCTTATGTGTCTTGTGGCCCACACAAGTCGGTTACGGCGATGAAGAGGTGTCAATATTGGTCCATTATAGGGCCTCCGAGCTCGAAGACCAGCAGCCTGCAAGCGATTTCGAACAGTTTGTGCAGTTACCCTTCCACCAAACATCTCTCTACTTGTGGAGGTTTCAGTGACAAATCTGTTTCTAAGATGACGTAATCGTATTGCGTGATCTTCCTGGAGTGACGTCACACGTGGCGCTCCCGTCCTTGGGCGGTCGGCAATAGTTCCAGTTTGAAGCACTCTCATTCTAAGATTAATTATTATCTGGCGTGAACAAAAGGCTTCTTACTACTTACTACCGTTAGAAACACTTTAAAATTTATTTGACTTACCAGAAAATTTTTTTTGTTGAAATTCATCAGTGTCAAGTTTTTAATTTGGCTGAGTAAATTTTAATTGAGTATAGTTCAAGGTTCGTTCGGTGTCGAGGTTTCCGTTGAGGTCGCCATGTTTGATTTGAGTGTGTTTGTGTCACAACCTACAACCTCTGATTGGACGCTATTGTTCACGTGTCTACGTTAAAGGAAGATAAGTTAGGGAATTGCAGATCATCTAGCAAGGTCTTGATGTTGTAAATCGGGCGGTCGTTGCTTCGGAAACATGTCCTTGCCAGGCCCTGCGCCCTACACTCCTGACATGGGGAAACCACGCTGGAATATCCCGGGAAACTTTCTCGAACCCAGGACCCCCAGGTTAGTGAGTCAGTAGATCTAACTAATTAGAGTCATCAAATCCAGACATGTTAAAATGGACAGATTTATTATTAGACCGCCCGAAAACGTGTGTGTCATAAAACGTCACTTCCGTTTCCTGTTCAAAACCTGTTCAGCATTAATTTTCCTTGTAACATATCCTGTTGGTCGAATACGCTGTCCAGTATAACAGGTTTTCAGAGTCCCTCTGATCTGTATTGAAGTTAATTATTGCGTGGGATTGGTAAGTTGTATATAAATCTCGAGTTTGGATAGGTATCTAATATTTTAATTACTATATCTCTCTCATAGTACACTGTATGGCGTATGCCCGTCTTCATTAGTCCAGTCGGAGCAGAACAGTAGGACGTTAAACCCCATTTCATTTCATTGTTATGAAGGCTTATTACGCTTGCGTTCTTCGTCCAAACGATCACTTAAAGATACATTATGGGAGATTAGATAAAGAGCTGGCAGTTCTCACTATAATAGTTAAAAACAAGATAATGTAATGGGGATTTGCTGAAAATTTCAGTCAAATTGATCCACTCTGAACTGAGATTTTAGCGATTGAATTTTCGGTCTAGCCTCAATCATCATTACTAAAGTCGATACGATAAAAAAAAAGAGTCGATTATCCATTTCATGATTAAATCATGAATGGAAGTCGAACAGCAAATCGGAACCTAATCCAATAAACATCGCAGTGTGGTGATGACTTCGAGAAAGGATATGGTCTGGATATGTTAATGTATAATTAATAATTTAGATAACATTTCAGGCCTAAAGAAAGACCTGCAATAGGCAGATTTAGCTCTTGCATAATGTATGGTTAACCCTTGTGCAGACACGTGGCACGAAAGACCTTGTGTATACTAAGACACCTAGACATAAATAGGTTTTGGATGCATAATTTTATTCAAATGCGACCGAACTAGGGCTTTATAAAGACTGATGAATAATCAACAACCAAAGTAAAAAAAATATTTGAGGTAAAAATTAACTGTGAAGATACGAATTATAAGGTATTTTTGAGACATCAAAATCTGCAAATAAATGTTGTCATTTCCATGTAGAATTGTCTCTTGTCGGGGTTTATAGAGTTTCTAGATTTGTTTGTAGGTAGTGACGGATGAATTTTCTAGAACATCTGATATCACTTTTCTTATACCCGGGAACATCTTTATTTTTGTATAATCAGTAAAGTGATCTCCCAAAAATCAAAAGACGAATGAATGAATGGAATGGGGTTTATCGCCCTGCTTTTCCACTAATCAAGACGGGAATATGCCCTGCTATCTTCTATGAGGCACATTTTGCCCAGACAGTAATTGAATTCCAATTGTCAGGGAGTCTTTCACGTGCATACTAAGATGTACACGGGACCCCGTGTTACTTGTCGGATCCCCCGTCTTGTACCACTGACAAGGGGAAACCACGCCGGACAACCCCCGAGTAACACTCTCGGCCAACATCGGGGCCGAACCAGGGTCCTCCGGGTTAGCTAGCCAGCACTTTTTGCTCTGTGTCGTCGTGATCAAAATGGCTGCTTCAAGTTTGTCAGCTATCAGTGAGTTAATCTTGTATCCGTTGTCAGGTCCATTATGTTTCAATATGTGATCCCGTTAACCCTGCGACACAAACATGCTCCAACGAGTAAAGCGACACGCACAGTAATTCCATTTACAGCGTCCTTCGACATACTTGAGCACAATAGCGTGACCTATTTTACACTGATATTAATCCGCCACTCTACACATATACTACTACAACGCAAGCTATACAGACTGACTTCAACCTTCGGCTTGTCAACAACTACATACTTCAACTCAATTTCACCGTTTTAACAGGACATCTACCACTCGCCACAACTAAATCAGCATCATGCCTCTTAGCAAAGAACAGGCGGACGCCTATACCAAGTTTTTTAAAGCCACCGACACTGATAATAATGGCTATTTAACTATTCACGAGTTGAGAGATGTCCTACAGGTTAAACTAAAGATGAAAATCAGTAACGAGGAGGTTATTGTAAGTATGATATTTATTGTAAAGGTCCGAGGTTGTTTTTGTACATCTCGCCCACATCGCCAAGCATTTTACCCCCACCCCCCTGCTCCCAATCCAGGGCCTGTTTTAATAGTTAACTACGTTAGGCCTACATTACGACGCCGTAGTGAGATTTTTTTTACAACCTATCAATGAGCAAGTAAGCCACACTAGGTTACACGTGGTCTTTATAGTCGGTATGGATCGATGTATCTTTTATGCCGAGCCGACGAAAATATCACGTGATCAATGATTTCAAAAATACAAGGGGCCATGTCGATGTGAATTTTTGCAGATGTTTTGTCTGGTCAACGTCACAGATATATGCCAGACTAATTATGGCCGTTTTTCAAGATTTTCCCGGGGAGTGAGTGGGCTGACCCTCTCAACCCCGGAGGAAGACCCCCCCCCCCCTCCCGCCCCTTTTCTATTGTTATCTAGTTGAGATTCCTTAACAGAGGACCTACCGTATGAAGCCCGAAACGTCCTGGGTAGCAACGTCGTACATATAGTCTTTAATCTCGCTATTACTTCGATTTGAAAGAAGTTTGAGTTTCTTTTTTTGAAATGAATATTTATCAAGATATGTGGATTTTTTGTGTAGCTGTGTCAAGGTCAGGGAAAGACGCAGATTGGAATCCGGGCATGGGTCGTGAATCCCGGTTTTCACAAGGGAAGTGTGTTTTGTCGTTCGAATGGGACGAACGTCTGAACATACGAATTTATCATACCAAAGTTCTTATTGGCGCGCGCGTTAAAAACGTGGACAGTGCGTGCACTAAGAGGGAGAGAAATGTTGCTCGGATTCTTTCATCCTATCCGACTGACTGGGTACACTTTCTTTGTCAGCGGCGCAGGTACAAGGTTTGCGAAATCCGCAAAGCTTCTTCTCCGTCGGTGCAGGGATTTTAACACGTGACATGTATTGTCTACGATATCATTTCATCGTCAATCGAATTAAAACACAGATCCTATTTAGTTTCGTTTTTCAAGTTCAAAATTTCGTTTTATTTGTCTGTACTACACTAGGATCTGGAAGAGTTGTTATATAACTTGCGTTCTTGATGGCGTGGGGGATTAGCCAATGAAACCTTCTCTTACGGCGACTTCTTGGCGTGCGATGCACGGAACTGGGGGTAAACCACTAGAAACGTCAACGCTGATTGATCAATCCATGTCTGACGTCATAAGGTCAAAAGCCGCCCGCCTGACATCTGACGTGACCTTCCAGTACAACTGGTCAGATCTTCACGTAGTGTAGGCCATCGAAAGTATAAAATAAAACGAAACGAAATATCGATCTGTATTTTTATCAGATTGTTTCACTGTAGAAGTGGACAGAACCATATTTCTCTCGGTAGATTTAATCAACCTACTTAGAAATGAAATGATATTAAATGGAGTTTAACGTCCTACTGTTCTGCTCCTAACCTGGGCTAATGAAGACGGGCATACGCCATACAGTGTGCTATGAGGGAAATTTTGCCCGGACAGCGACACTACGGCCTACTCTTATATCGAATTCCAACTGCCAAGGGATCTTTTACGTGCACGCCAATGTGTACACGGGATCTCGGTTTTTCGTCCCATCCGAACGACTAGACAGCTTTCCTTGTCAGCCCCTCCGTCCTGCATCACTGACAAGGGAGAACCACGCCGGAAAATCTGGATGAACTTTCTCGGCCAATGCAGGGATCAAACACCCGACCTCCAGGCTAGCGAGCTAGCATCTTTCCCACTTAGCCACGTGATCACCAACCTACTTAGATATATAAAAAAAATGTACAAAATGTGAAATACTTTTTACCTAGACGTATGTACAAAATAATACAAAATATTCCAATGGTGAATCAGTCGACCATGCATGTTACGCTAGCTTAAAAATAAAATGAACATCCAAAATGAAAGAGGGAGAAGGTAGGTCATTTCGGGACTAACATGATTCAATTTCCTTTCAATGATTCGCTTGCTCGTAGGGGTCTTTAGCAGTGGGAGGGAAACGGAGAACCCGGAAAAAAACCCACGAGGTTGGACATGCAACCCTACGCCTTGTCACGTACAAGCAGAGAATCGAAACGACATCACTTGACTCAATGAAAGGCCCTATGATCTAAAGTATAGGCGTTAAACGACTCGGGTGTTTATGTAATTGTAAAACCTGAATAACACGTCACTCGGCAAACCTCAGCAGATTTCAGTACCCTACATCTAGCCTCGGCTGTATGACAAAGTACGCCATTGGAGCTACTTTCAAGTTCCGAGATTACCAACTGCGTTTCCCATGACGACGCCTTTAAAAGATGTTTTATCATACAAATATTTCAAAGTCTGAAGCTGTTTTTCTTTTAAGTTTATCCGATTTTCTTCAAACAAGGACAACTTTGCACTGACAATTCTACTCACGCTTTGAACGACGCAATTTTGATAACTCCTTTTTAAAAGCGGCAAGTTTTCCTAATAAGTAAACCGGTGCCGCATCGCAATTGTATAGGCGTAGGTACATATCATTTGCCGTCATACAGCCGAGGCTAGATGTAGAGTAACGGAATCTGCCGAGGTTTGCCGAGTGAATAATACGTCTGACATGCACCCAGTCGTACCTAATGTACATTATCATGCATCAGTAAAGAAATTCTTATACTGGTTAGACTGACATTTAGTTTATCTTAATACTTTTCCCCGTCTTCATTATCCCGATTGGTGCAAAAAATTAGGACGTTAAGTCCAATTTCATTTCATTTCATTTCATTTCATTTCTTAATGCTTTTGATTTAATGTTGGAATCGAAACAATATAGCGACCGCGGTTTCCGAAAAAAATGTCTTAAGGGATCTCCGTCTTCCTTAGGCCGGTTGGCCTTAGGCCGGTTGGTACGGGAACCCCTTTCATTCCATCATAAGGAGTATACGGTCGTCGGCCTAACCTCGTGGGCTTAATCCGCGCTTTCACGTTTCCTCACACTAACGTATTTAGTGTTTTGGGACTTGAGACTCCATGTATGCTCTCCTTCATATTGGTAGAAGGTAGACCCACGAAGATTGAGTCAAGTTGTCTTATCTTGCCAATCCTCAAATCTCAACGATTCAAATTCTTCGGTGTTTACGTTGCGTAATTTTGTGGTCACACCTGCGCTATCTATTTAAAACTGTGATATATTGTGGCAGATTTTATTACGTCTTAATCCAATGTCATTCACCTGTCAGTCATGGGGAATTTTATACACTTTATCTTAAACAAAACCTAATCTAGTAGTGGGTGGAGGAGAATGAAAATAATTAACGAAAAATCAAATTTATATTCACATCGCTGATCCTTGTCGTGCATATTCGGACAATATCTGAATATTCATGTCTTCGTTTTGCACCTAGATTGTTTTTTTAACATTTGATTTAGCAGATTAAATTCTCCCGGCTCAAAAAGCAAGGACGGACTGGACATTGTCAGGAGCCACCCCCCCCCCCCCCGCCACCCCCTCCCGACTTTAAGGAGCGTGAAAGTTTTGACAACTTGGCTATAAATGGTGTTTTTAGCTTATGCACAAATTAATTGTACATTGCGATATTACCAATTCATCGAACGACATAAATTCAAGACTGAAAAGGGCCCCAAACTACGTGAGAACATTAAATTCATTAGGATCCCCGAGGCTATAATAATCACAGGCTTCTTCGCGGTTCATCCATTTTAAACAGAGATCCATCAAATACAAACAGACTCCTTCTCAGTTCATCCCTGTTAAACAGAGGTCCGTCAAATGATTTGACTGGTTTGGTGACTTGTTTAAATCGTCCACTGAGGATGAAGAACCTTTTGAATGCATCATATTTCTGTAATTACTGATGGAGGCAGACCCAGACCATCATTAAATTTCACCATCTCGGTACCTTTTTAGCAACTCTCTCTCTCTCTCTCCCCCTTTTTGTATCTCGAATGGATGAACAGGATTTAAGGTACCATTTTCTGCCCGGCTTTTGGCAAATATTCATGATTTAGAGGTGGAAGGATAACGGAGTTGACAGGTTGATTACGGTGATGTGTACCGCGAAAAGTTACATGTTTTTCTCATACAAATTTTGGTGCAAAGACATGGTCATTTGTTTCTCTGTCTGTAGTGATAAACATTCAGACCAAAGAATGTTTTTTTTTTTTTTTTTTTTTTTTTTTTTTTTGGGGGGGGGGGGGGAGATGTTGGGCAAATAGTCAGAATTAGTATTGAAGTCAATGGGGAAATTAATGGTGGTCTGCCTCCTTATAATACGAAATTAAACCATTTTTGGACCAATATGCAAAGAATTCAAAACATGTTGCTACTATTCAAAACCAAATGTTGACATCCTAATTTATGTCCCGCGCTCGTAACAACAAGACAAAAACAAATATCTCCTCGTAAGAAATTAGATAGGTCAGTGTCCAGTGACATTTTCTCACACACCAAAAATAAGTGAAGATATATTATTTCGTATGTATCTACAACTTTCACCCATCGTTGTTTTATTTTCGAGTGACGCGAAGATGTCGCAATATGTATTGTAAACAATGGGGTAGTGTTTTGTAAAATGGTACGGTTATAAACAGCTCTACGTTGTAATATAAGTAAAGATTATATCGCAAAATGTACCTACAACCTTGACCCACGTTTTTTTGGGGGGGTGGCGCCAAGAAGATGTCGCAATATATGTATTGCACACAATATGATACGATTTTGTAAAAGTCCTGCGTAGTAATTGTACGCCGAGATTTATTGTGTAATCATTGAAGTTAAGTAGGCTAGAACATTTTATAATGAATAGAATAGAGTTAAGTAGACTAGAACATTTTCGAAACGTTCTCTTTAATTGCGCACGATATATGATGAAATGGGGTTTAACGTCTACTTTGTGCATTCGTAATTCAAAATAAGAGTAGACCGTAGCGCCGCTCTTCGGGCAAACTTTTACTCATACCATTTCACTGTATGGCGTATCCCCGTCTTCATATACCCA